CCTTTGGTACAAATCAAACAACAAAGTTAATCAGACACATTTGATGGGATATATGATTGAACACTGGCTGCATAAAAGGCACAAACAGAAAACAATATGCTCAATTACTGAGGTTAATAACTCAGCACCAAAGTTGCAGCCTTCTCTTCTCACCTTGTTAATAACCTACTTCAAATATTAATGTTGTGTTTTCTTTTTTTTTCTAGTATCTTTTGAAATAAGACATACGACTTCATGTGTTAGAAGATCAGGATAATGGTCCAACCCATATCTGTTACTATGTCTTTCCAAAGTCCAAGAATACCTGGAGTACTGTAACTTTTAGTACAACTTAAAATAAATTGAATTCCTTGAAAAGAAGGATGTGGTATAGAGAAGAGAATACTTTGAATCCTTGAGGTTAATGCCATTTCTGTTCTTTATCAGCTTTATGATGCTGAACACATTTTTCAATCTTTTTGAACCTCAAGACGTTTTAAGTGATGATGCTGAACTGCCAGCAAAAGAAATGGGGAAGGGCCAGTCAGTGAGGTAGCAGGAAATCAGGAGATTGTATCACACAGATGCTGAAAGAAGAAAGAATTTTTGAAGGAGGGATTGGCCAACCATGTTGAAAAGATTATTATGGTCTAGATATGAAGTGTCAACCATGTATTGAGGCCTGGTCCCCAGCTGGTAGTGCTATTTTGGGAAATGGTATAAGATTTAGGAAGTGGGACCCACTAGCAGAAGGAGGTCACTGTCATACCTTATTGACTGGAACTTGCCCTTTCTGCTTCCTGTCTCTCTTTGGTTCTTTTGTTGTCTACCAGGAAATGAACTTATTTATTCTGCCATGCTTTGGTCACCTTGAAATGCCTTACCTCAGGTCCAAAGCAAAAGAGCTGGGCAATCATGGCCTGAGACCTCAGAAACCATGAGCCAAAAACAAATTTTTTTCTTCCTTTAAGTTGTTTATATCAGATATTTTGTCACAGAGACAAGAAACTAAGATACACAAAGACCTAAAGTTACCATTGTGTTAGCCACCAATGGAACAATCCATCAACATACACATAAAGACTTTAAATTATTCTTGGTCCATCAAGATGTATCTTTAAAAAAATAAAAGAAAGAAGATAGTATCTCTGATTACTGTATTGTTTTAAAGAACTTCTTTCTGAGGTTTCATTTGCATATTAAAATAAAATCCGAGAGCCAATTTTTACAACTCTGCTTCTTTTTTTGTTTTGTTTTCTTCTCTCAATAATTTCTAGGTTCTTTGTGCCCATTTAAGGGAGAATTCTAGAGGGTAAGAGCTAATCAAATGTGGACTGCATAATTTCAGGCAGATTCAGAAACATTTCCTCCTCATTGTAAGCACATCTGATAAGAATATTTTCCATGCTGATGTGCAATAGGGCTTTCAAATGCAATTGTTTATGCCTAAATTTAGGCAAACACAATTTCTGAATATTAAGACAAAGAAAAATATCATGGTAAGCCCCCCCCTATTACAAAGGTCTAAAAATACTGTATCCTTTCTCCCAACTGCACTCACAAAGGAAAAGAATTTGAACTTAGGTTGACCACAGCTCTATGAAACCAGAGACAAGGTTCTCCTTGGATGTAAATAGACTTTTCAGGGGGCATTCTAACTTGCTTAAAGAGTTAGGAATGCCTTTCATCAACGACTAATAATTAACAATACCACTAACCATTACCAAAAGACCATTATCATATAAAAGCAGAAATATGAGGGACTTAAGATACAGAAATGAAGATGAGCTCTTAGTTTGATAAATTATATCTGGGAGGTGAGGAATGTACACAAGTCGAATGGCTCACATTTGAGCATGTATCTGGAGCCCCGTACACACACCTGAAAGTAAAATTCACCTGCGATCTCCCCAGCAATGTTTCCAAGTCAGAACAACCAAGTTCATACGCATTACTTCTACTTCCTGATCTGGCTCTCTTCTCCACTATCCAAAAACAAATACAAGAATGTCAAAATCACCACCATCTTTCAGATGGTCCCACCTGAAGGTCACTTCTCTCTTACTATTTCCGGTCTTCAGCGACATCCAACACCATTCCTACCATCTCACCTCCTTCTTCTCTGTGACATCATTTGTGTGGTTTTCTACACACAGAGATTACCACACACACTGATTGTCTTCCTTCCGACTTCTTTCTTGTTTTTCTCAATAGTGATTTGAATTTTAAGTTTTACACAGATTGAATGGCTCCTACTTTTCACATCCATTAAGTTCACAATTTTGAAAATTTGACATCTTACACTTAGTGAAGGACTTGCCTCTCCTGTCTCGACCCAATTTTTTAGGTATCTAATGATGAAATATGAAGGACTGACTCCCACCTTATTCCCTAGGGTCAAGCAAGACACCAAGTACACAAACAGGCCTGGTCACATGCCTGTCCACAGGCAGGTTATACCAACCTAGGCCTGGCTGAAAGTCCCAGTCACTCCAGGTGAGACATTCCATTCTGGACTTAACTGAAAGTACCTGGTGCTCCCGCCCCCTCCCCCGTCTAGTAATTATAGCCTGATTTATTCCTTTGTTTCCTTGTTAAGACCCATATAACCCGGTCCCAAAATCCAAACCCACGGGAAGGTCTGTTCCCCTCACAGGCAATAAACAGTCCTAGCTTGTTGACAATCAAGTCTGGTCTATTCCTTTTCCATTCTCCTCCATTTTCCTAACACTTAGCACATGCAAAACTGGAACTTTTGGTGTTTTCCCCCCCTCTAAAGACAGTTCTCAGTCTTTATCATCTCAGTAAAAGTTACCAACAAACTCAAGTGCTTAGTGACTCACACTGTCAAATCCAGCCTATGCAGGAATGTCCATGAGACTCTTGTCTTCAATCGCCAAAAGGTCAGAGGTGGAGGTGTGGCACAAGTGGTCAAGAGCCAGTCTTGAATGAAAAAGCTCAGGGCCAGCACCCTGCTCCTGAGTTCACATACACACACACACACACACACACACACACACACACACACACACACACACACACACACACACACACACACACACACACACACACACCACATTCTGGATAACCTCAGTATCCTCTTTTGTACTTTCAATTCAACCAAGATCTGCCAGTTGTACCATCAAAACACATGCCCAATAGATCTACTGCCCCAAGGCATGGACCACTGCAGCACTCTAATTCTACTCTCTGTTCTCTATCTGCTGCTTGCAGCCCATTCCATCCAGCCACACAACAGCCTTGTCACACACTACAGATTATGCTCTTTCCACACTGAAAACCCCATGATGCCTCTATAGAATTTGGAGTAAGGCTCCTGCTTGCCTACCTTGCTCTGCCATTCTTTCTGTCCTCAAAGCATTTCAAAGCTTTCCTGTCTCCAGGCTTTTGTGTTCCTCACTCTGCCAGGCTGAGCATGTGCTCAGCTCAGTCTTGAAACCTTACAATTAGTTCAGAAATCACCAACCAAGCCAGGCATAGTAGCACACACCTGTAAATGCCATCTTTGCAGGAGGCAGAAAAATTCTGAATTTGAGGCCAACTTAGGCAAAGTTAGGAACACAACAAACAAACAAAAAAAAGCAAAACAAATAAATAAGCAAAAGGATTGGGTGGGTGGCTCAAGTGGTAGAATACTTGCCTAACCTCCATGAGGCCCTGAGTTCAATCCCTGCTACTGCATGCTCATCACCTGTGACTAGTCAGTGCATGCAACAATATCCCCACTAAGTGGAAGCTCTGTGGAAAGCAGGAACCTCGTCCACATTGGCTAGGGGCAGGGGGGTCCTGGCTGGTTAGGTGAATGCTAGCTGAGGGGACAGATGCAGGCTCATGGCTCTGGGGTGGATCACAGGTTTCCTAGCTCTAGTCTGCTGCACTAAGCAGCAGCTCCAGCTGCCTCTCCTAAACAATGGATGAGTCAGCTTGGGAGGCCATGGTTAGCGTGCAAGCCTAGGGAACTTCCGTGGGAAGTGTGCAGCACTGCACAAAAGCGCCAGCCAGCATCGCTCCCTGGGGTGCAGCCAGCTTGGTAAGTTTCTGCTAGGCTAGAGGGGTGGAGGTGCTTATTTAAAAACAAGTTAAAATTGCAGAATGTTCAAAGCAGGCCTCGGGCCAAGGGTAGAAAGGGAGGGACACAAACTGACTTTAGTGGGGAGTGATCTAAAACAGTGCAAGGAGAAGGGGGCAATTCCTGGATGGCATGCTCTTGGCATCCTTATGAATACAGATTCCAAATACTTGACTCTACTCAAGAGGGGCTGGATAGAAGCTTCTGTTGCCATAGTAACCTCTGTGCTCCTGGGGTCTAGGCACAAGGCTTCAAATAAACAACTAGTGTAGAGTAGTGAAGGAAAATTTCACAGAGCAGAGGCTGGTTGGGGTGGCGGGGGGGGGGGGGGGGGGGAGCGGGAAGGGGGGAATGGCAAGAAGCAATCCAGCAAGTGCCACAAGCCACATTCTAAACACAAAACTCAGGAGTTGGGAGTGGAATCCTCCTACTGCACTGGGTAAGGCAGAGGCAGCTTCCTGCTGGGCCACATCTGAAACAACGGGCCCCATTGACAGGCACATCTGTTACTACTAAACACTTAGCAATCAATATTCTCCTACAGAATTATTTCCCTTCTTTGGCTTTAAGGGGTTACTGTCTGCCAGGCTGCCAAACCCCAACCTTTTCTGCATCAGCAGCCGCCACATAAAGTGACTATTAGAACTTCAAACGAAGAATTTTAGTCCCGGAAATGGCCTCATGCTAGGGTTTTTTTTTTTTTTTTTCCTTCCTTCAATAGAGACACCAGGAAAATGTCAGAAGGCAAATAAAAAACCCACACCCTGAAAGACTTAAAAAATAACAGTCACATCCCTGGGAGGATGAGTAACTCCAGCCCGATTTGATTTAAAAAGGAAACAGCCGATTTAATCAGACAGCCTGGATAGATTTGAAGGAAAGAAGGGGAGGCAGAGCCAGAGGAGGTAACAGAAGCGTGAGGAGACCTTACCTTAACACCTGCATCTCCTCAGAAGAGTTCTGCAGCTCGTCCTGGAGGCGATGCCAGCGCAAGCAAGCCCTCAGCTCTTGATGCTCATGGGCCTCATGGTGGGACAGCTGGTTGGGCCACAGACAAATAAACATAGTGTATAAAACAGCGTCATTGTGTTGATCAGACCTACCCCATGGAATCGTCTATTTTGTTTCAGTGGGGACAACTGGACCTGCTCCCCTGTGTAAGACGGTCCCCCTGCTTTCCCGTTCCCCTCTGTCAGAAAAGCAAAGGCCACAGGAACTTCTAAGCTATTCGGGAGAAATCCAATGAGCATTCCAGCTCTCTCTAGTGCTGGTAGGTGGAGCCAAACCTGCCTGTTTGGGAGGGTTCCTCAGTCTTGGAACCTACTCCCTGGACATCCACCTGGCCTAGAGAGAAGGGGACACTCCCTAGGGGCCATTTCCACTTTGGTTCCATCCAGCTTTCTTCTCCTGCTTTGTATTTCTACCTAGGGAGGAGAAGGCCCCTCTATTTACCTCCTATTTTTACCAACCCTCAATTTTGCTAAGGACTGTTTACAGTGGAGCCTGCTAATGTAACCCAGATGGTTCTGTTTGCATATAACCGGGGAAGGGGGGGGGGGGGGAGTATACTGCCTGGACTTAATTTAGGGCCAGGGAAGGCCATCACAGTCTACCCTACTGAGTCAGAACTGACTGCCATCACATGGATGTACTCTCAAGGCCACATGGCTGTGATCTCTGCAAGGGAGGGCTGCTGAATACCCACTGTGGAGAGAAGATGTGTAGGCTCTACAGGCATTTCTGAAAATCAAAAGCTCCTAAAGACTTATAGATATTTTCTGAGTGCATGCTAGGTCCTGGAGACATTATGGACAGGACCTCTACCATGAAGAGTTGAGGGTGGGGAGAACAGGTAAAGGACATGAATATCAGGGTGCAGGTGAAAGTAGAGTTAAGGGAAGGGTCTTCTTTCCAACCAGCATGTGTCAGGGGCTTTCTTGTGGAAATGGTCTCATCAAGGAAGACAGGTATCAGCTATGGTACAGGGACTGCAGGACATAAGAAATCATTTACAAGACTCTGGGGCCTTAGCGAATGGAGAGGGATGTGGTGACGCTGAGCGCTGACTATTAAGGCTGGGAGGTGCTGAGAGGCTTGCAGAGGTCAGATGATCAGCAGACTTTATGTGATGTCTGTTGTTACAGACCCAAATATCCCCTACCTCACACAAGCTGAAGAACTAATGTCCATGTGACTGAATTTGGGGACAAAAACTTTTAAGAAGATGGTTAAGGTTCAAGGAGACATTAGGAGGGAGGCCATGATCTTATAGGATTATGATTTATAAAAAGAAGAGAGCTAGGTGCTGGAGGCTCATGTCTGTAATCCTAGCTACTCAGGAGGCGGAGGTCTGAGGATCATAGTTCAAAGCCAGCCTGAACAGGAACGTCTGTGAGACTCTTATCTCCAATTAAAAAGCTGATGTAGAGCAGTGTCTCAAGTGGTAGAGTACTAGCTTTGAGCACAAAAGCTCACAAAAGCACCCAGGCCCTGAGTTCAAACCCCAGGACTAGTGCCATAAAGAAAAAGAGAAAATAGAAAAACATAAACCTTGCTGACTATTGCTTCCTCTCCTCAAGTGTGGAGGCCATGGGAGCATAAAGCAAGAAGGAGACCACTGACAGGAAGACAGGCCACAGCAATTGCCAATCCTGTTGCAATTTGATATTGGACTTCCAGCTAGCCTCTAGAACTTTGAGAATATATGTCTGTTATTGAAGCCACTCATCTGGTATTTGATTAAGGAAGCCCATGTAGCTCAATGGACCTATGAAGGAGTGTGGACTTTATCCAGGTCAACAGAAGTTACATAGTTCAACCTTCTAACTCAACACCTCCCTGTGGAATGCTCCTGGAATGGAATACAGTTTCCAGTTCCTTTCAGTGATTTCATACTCCCCTTCTTTCCAGGCCTTCTGATGCTCAGGGCTGCTGTGCCCAGTCCAAAGGGCGGTAAAATGACCAATCATTGGTACCAGTGCATTGTCACACCCTCTTCCTTTGTGGAGCCATTGCAGACCAGGTAGCAGCACTATCCAGGCACACACAAAGTGTTCCTCCTTTCCTGCTCAGAAGGTATGATGTAGGCACTCATCAGCTACTTGCCCAGCTAAGTCTCTCCCTTAAAGGATGGGATCAGAGGAATGGATATGCTGGATTCTAGAAGGGCCACTTTGCCTGAGGGATGTTCATGTTCTCATTTGCAGAGTGATATACCGAGCTGAAGCCCACCTGTGTTAAGGAGAAAGAAGGCTGGAGAGGACTCAGTTCTTGCTTTCCCTAGAAGCCCTTCAGAAGTAACTTCCTCCCCAAAGGCTTTCTGCATGCACTCAGACATGGCCTTTTCCACCTCTGAACTCACACATTACCTAATACCTTTTCTTCTTTCTATTGAGGGCTTTTCTTATCCTCAGCTTTTTATCCCTAAAGATTGAGCACAGAATTAGACACAGAAAGCAAACAGTGCCATGGGATTTCAGCCCAGGGAGATCGTATCAGTATGTACAGTCAGACTCAGGGCAGCTGCAGCATCTAAGCAATTAGACTGAGCAGTAACTGTCTAGAAGTGCATGCAGGGCAGGGGGTGAAGGAGGGATTCTCTTCTGAGGATGTAGGAGACAAAGACCAAGATCATCAGTTGTCTGAAATGAGCTGACAGATGCGCAGGACAGCACCAATCTGATTGTCTCAGAAGTGCAGTCCCAGTGCTCATAGGAGCTGCAGTAGCAACATTTATATCAAAACCTTGCTGACTGTATAGATGCAAGGTGGTGGGAAATACAAAGAGGAGAAGAACAGGTGTTTCTTGCATACTCTCCACATGTCTGGAATGTGTTAAGCTCATTCACACATTGCTCCATTCACCTTGTAATATTGTCATCATCTCCTCTTCCCCCTCCTCCCCCCACTTCCTCCTTCTCCTTCTGCTCTTCTTTTTCCTCCCCCCTCCTCCTCCTCCCCTTCCCCCCCTCCTCCTCCTCCTCCTTCTCCTTCTCCTCTTCTTCCTCCTCCTCTTCTTCTTCCTCCTCCTCCTCCTCCTCCTTTTTCTTCTCTTTCTCTTTCTTCTTTATCAATCTTGGGGCTTAAACTCAAGGAGTGAGCACAGTCCCTGAGCTTTTTTCGCTCAAGACTTACACTCTACCACCTAGGCTATAGACACACTTCCAGCTTTTGGTGTTTAACGGGGGGTAAGAATGTCACAGCTGCTGGCTGGGCTTTGAACCTCAATCCTTAGACCTTAGCCTCCTGAGTAAGAAGGATTACAGGTATGAACCACTTGTGCTGCACCTGAGTCTTTTACATCCAACCTACAAGAGGGAAACTAAATCTTCAGGAGGCTGCATATTCTACCTGAACTCAGAAAACTTGTGAGCAGCAGAGTTGGGATAATATGGTCCAACTCAGAACCCAGCCTCTTTTCCTATGTCTACCAGGTAGCCTCTCTGGGCAGAGGACATAGCTGTGCACTCAGCTAGTTCCAAAGGCATGATGTGAAGAGGACAGAAAGGTGAGTAAAACACATTCCTGCTTTGAAAAGGGGCATAGTCAAAGTTACGAGGATAAGAAAAGCATATGATAGAAGAAAAAAATAACAAAAAAAGAGGCAAGCAGAACATACTATGGGAGTTCAAGCTTTAAAGGACAGAACAACGCATGGGGTAGTCTGGGTTATTCAGAGGAGCCTCAAGCTAGCAAGCAGAATATAAAAATATTGAAACAGGAAGATCCATCTTAACAAGATAGGTACATATAAACGGGAACCTCAGAAAATGTCAAGTAGCCCGGTGTGGGAAGGACAGAGGTGATACAGAAATGAAATGACCTAAATATTAGGAATTAAGAAAGCAGAAAGGAGTGGTTATATCCTAGGCCAATTCTTTAAGGTAGAGGTGGGAACATAGATGTGTGCTGAACAGGCTTGGCTTCAGGGTATCATTGCATACTTTGTATACATTTTTAGTGCTAGAGATTGAACCTATGGCTTTTTTTTTTTTTTTGGTCAGTTGTGGGACTTGAACTCTGGGCCTGAGTGCTGTCTCTCAGCTCTTCAGCTCAAGGCTAACACTCTACCACTTGAGCTACAGTGCCACTTCTGGTTTTCTGGTGGTTTATTGGAGATAAGAGTTTCATGGACTTTCCTGCTGGGCTGGCTTTGAGCTGCAATCCTCAGATCTCAGCCTCCTGAGTAGCTAGGATTACAGGTGTGAGACCTATGGCTTTCTATATGTTAGACACATGGTCTAGTACTGAGCTACATTCATAATCACTGATTTGTATAGTCTTTTTATTGTTCTTGATGGTGGTCATGGGGCTTGAACTCTGGGCCTGGGTACTGACCCTGAGCTCTTCAGCTCAAGGCAAGTGCTCTACCTCTTTGAGTTACTTGGAGATAAGACTCTCACAGACTTTCTTGCCTGGGCTGACTTTGAACTGTGATCATTAGATCTTAGCCTCCTGAGTAGCTATGATTACAGGCATGAGCCACTGGCAACCAGCTTGTATAGTATTTTTTAAATCAGAAAACTTTTATTAGGTTGGTGGAATCCTAAAAACAAAACAAAACAAAACCCCAGAGGTCCAAGCTATACTGAGCCTTCCCTTAACTATACCAATTGGTTAAAGCTCAGTACCTATTGTCAATTTTCTATAGCGCATAGCATCCCCTAATCTATAACACAAGCGACTTTATTCTTCAATCATTATTTGCCAGCAAACATATGAGATTATGACTAGAGTTTTACATTTTAGTCTGATTATTTAAAACACTCATACTTAATATCACTACAACCACATGCTTGGGTATGATCTTTTGTTCATCTCTGCTCCAATGTGTCCCCATTGGAGGTTTTTCTAAGCCCCTTCCAAAAGAACACACCCTGGGGATGGGAGAGAAAAACTGGGAGAGAGCTATGGAAGGAGTGACATTATCCAAAAAGAAATGTACTCGTTACCTGACTTACAAAACAGTAACCTCTCTGTAGATCACCTTTATATAATAAAAACTATTTAGTAAAAAAACGAACATCTCCCCTCTGTGGGATTCATCTCTCCTCACAGTATGGCACCCACTTGTTTATCCTCTTTCCGATCTCAAGATTGTGAACCTGCAACAGACAGGGCTTCCCTCTACTCACTCAGTATGGGTCTGTAGAATGAATAAATGATTTTAAGTAGAGCCTGATTCTGGGTAGGGAAGTACTTAAAGAGTTACTGTAAACCTACCTGCTGTGCTTCAGCCCAGATTACATCTTCTAAGTGAGTGGCAAATCCTTCACTGAGCCACTCCTCCGTCCAGTCTCTGGCCCCAATAGCTAGGCCAAACCAGGCATGAGCAATTTCATGGCAGAGTCGGGTCCCACAGAGATGGCTCATGCCTGTCAAGGTGCTCTGGGAGAGGAAGATGATGTGTGGGCTGTGGATAATGGGAGAGAAAACACATGGAGCCCTGTTAGAGCTTGTCCTGAAGGCTATCCCGTGGCAGCTTTTTTAGCCTACAGAATCTGTTATTATCCTGTGCATGCTACATCATGACTGACAGACTTGCTCCTGAGATGCTTTTAGACCTAAATAAAGTGGCAGTTTACGTTTCTGGCAGCAGTTCAGCTTGCTGTTTCTGCCAACAGTTGTCTCCGTCATCAAGTGGCTATTACCTGTAATAAGTAACTTGCACCACAGTTTTATACTGAAAAAATTACAAGGCAATGGAAGCATTTACGCTGAAATCTGGACTGTAAAAGAAGAGCAGGTGTGAGAATGTGAAGCCCATGCTGTCAGGAGAGTGATCAAAGAAGCCTGTTCAGCCAAAAATCCCAGCAGCTTACAGACGAATTGAGAAGTCATGCAGAAGGGCAGGAAAAGCCAAGAAGAATGGAACCAAAAATTTCCCATTTCACACTGGGGCTGGCTATGGAGTTCATAATCTAACAAGTGCTATGGATAGGGGAGGTTTCCAAGGTACCCACAGAAGGGCTGCATCTCTGAAAAACAAAGGTTTTCAGTGGACTCTTTGGGTACTTACAGATTCACATGACATAACAAAATTATGAGAGAGAGAGAGAGAGAGAGAGTAGGTAGGGAGTTAACCCACCCAGGTGTGCAAACAGCCCCAGGGCTGGCACCAGCTGGGGAGATTTATCTAATCTCATTTTCCATACCTAGTTTTAAAACTCCAAATACCATGATTAAAATTGCAGAGATGAAATGGGAGGAAGGAGGGAGGGGAGGTCCTGAAAAAAGAAGAGGCAAATAGAATACCTCCTATGTTTCCACTTTCTGCATTTATCCAGGACTTGTTATAGTCTTCCTAATGAAGAATTTGATCTGGAAAGAAAAAAAAGATCTCTCCTCTATCAATTAAAGAAAACCAGTTGTGAAACCTTCCAAGCTAAGAAACTGTGCACACCAGTTCTTTCTTCAAAAGCCATTTGTTTGCCACCATGTCAGCTTTACACAAGCCAAGACTGCTTGCAGATTTTTTTGTCCGCCCCCACAGCTACCATTAGAGCAAACCCCACCTATATGTCCCTTGCACAACATTGCCCATTCAGCTCAGAGAGCTCAACTGCAATTGCGGCAGTCAGGTTTGCCAAAATAGACAGTGTTCGTGTGAAATAATAACAGGGCGGCCTAGGCCAGGCTCTCCAGAGTCCACAGAAACTCCAGAAATTAAAATAGAGTTGAGGAACTGAGGACAAAGGGATGCAACTCCACAGGTACCAACAGATCACTAACTCAGAAAGAAAGAAAGAAAGAAAGAAAGAAAGAAAGAAAGAAAGAAAGAAAGAAAGAAAGAAAGAAAGAAAGAAAGAAAGAAAGAAAGAAAGAAAGAAAGAAAGAAAGAAAGGAAGAAAGAAAGAAAGAAAGAAGGAAAGGAAGGAAGGAAGGAAGGAAGGAAGGAAGAAAGGAAGAAAGGAAGAAAGAAAGAAAGGAAGAAAGAAAGGAAGAAAGGAAGAAAGAAAGAAAGGAAGAAAGAAAGGAAGAAAGAAAGAAAGAAAGAAAGAAAGAAAGAAAGAAAGAAAGAAAGAAAGAAAGAAAGGAAAGAAGAGAAGGAAAGGAAAGGAAAGAGGAGGAGAAACATAAATAAGGAAGAGAAGTGAAGGAAGAGGAGAACTGGGAAGGAGAGGAGGGAGGTGACTGGAAGGGAGAGAGGAAGGGGAGAAAAAGAGGGAAGGGAGGGAGAGAAGGGAGGAGGGAGGCAGGAAGGCAGGAAGGCAGGAAGGCAGGCAGGCAGGAAGGCAGGAAGGAAGGAAGGAAGGAAGGAAGGAAGGAAGGAAGGAAGGAAGGAAGGAAGGAGCGCTCGAGGGAACCAAGTGGCACAGGAGACATCCTCTCCTTACTGAGAAAGTGGCCTGTTGAGAAGACAAACTGTGCAACCTGACATTTTTAAGTAAATGAGCACTGGCTCTGGCATGTACAGAGCTACAAGAAAAGCCACAGAAATGTACCGAGTAAATAACATTCCAGACGCTCTGCTGGCAGCAGTTCACCCTTTTGGCTAAAACAAAACAGAAGTAACTTCAGGTCTTATAAACAGGCTTAAAGAGGAGGCTTCCTAGGGAAAGTCTACCAACCAGAGTAACAGCCATGCACATATTACCAAGACTGGAAGGTCTGACCCTTGCTGAGGCCACTTAGATTCCATAAGGAGATGACTAAAATCCCAGCAAGACTGTTGAAGAAGAAAAAACTTCCAGTACTGGGGTGACCCACGGCTACTTTGTCCCAAAGTGGAAGCCTAGCCAACGCCCATTTATGCAAATATAAAAGTCTGTTGAGGGCCTGAAGGAATGCACAAAAGCAGCCAGCTAGGTTGGAGGTGGGGGGGGGGGGGGGGAGCCTGTTCACCTTCCCTCATTTCAATTTTTTTTTCCCCCTTGCACAGTCCTTGTCTGGGCCAGATTTCCTTCCCCACCCTTCTTTACTCTGGAGACTCCTCCCTGGCCTGGAGGTCTCTGGAATGGTATGGAAGGAATATAGCACCTCATTCCCACTTTCCCATCTTTAATCCCTTCTTCCAAGCCAAATGTATTTTTTACTTTTCTTAGCAGAAGCTTAAACATCCTCCAATCAGATGGGAAGGAAGGGCGTTTCAATTCAATATAAAGGATTCCATTATCAGTGGAAACCAAGGCCTCTCCCTAGAAAGCCATTTCCCAGCTGGGATCCTAGCCTCCCAGCTTCTCATCTAAGTTGGATTTTTACCTGTTGTGTCCCTCTGAAGGAAAGGATTTCTGAAAACTAAATCAGAAACAGGAGAAAGGTTTTGATAACCTTTCTCATGGGTGTTAACCAAATTCTGACATTAAAGGATCAACAGTAGACTTCTTTGAAGAACTTCCTTCCCTCTTAAAAAAGACTGTAAATGTTGGAACTTCTCAAGATAAGTAGCCTTTTTAAACTCTTCATCTTTTAAACTATTTTTCTTCAACTGTGAGTGAGGAAAAAAATATGATAATGTTCTCAAATTCACTTTAAGGAGAGATATTAGATATTCCTTTACTAGCAGATGATATATGGCTATCCACTTTCACAAGAGAACGAACTTTTGAGAATTTTCTACTCCTACCCTAACCTTGACATATGAGGCTCACAGGAGCCTCCCCCCTCCCCTCCCACATTCCTGCATTCTCAGAATCTTATTCAAGTTCCCATCAGCCAGCTGGTGATCAGTCTTCACTCTGACAGGCCCATTGGAAGATGGTGTTTCTTTCTTATCCCCTGAAAAGGTCTGTCAAGTCCTCAACATATGCCAAATCATTGATTCACCATCATTACAGAGGATGGAAGATAAGTACTTCAATAACATCTCTATCCTACAAAAGAGATTTCTTTCCCTTTTTAAAGATCTTCTGAGTTTAGTGTGTGTGTGTGTGTGTGTGTGTGTGTGTGTGTGTGTGTGTGTGCGCCGCGCGCGCACGCGCGCGCACGCGCGTGCGTGCATGCGCTTGCATGTATGTGCATTCCTTATGAAAGATGGGCAGCAAAGTGACAGAAAGCACAGCTCAGCTGGGCGCTGGTGGTTCATGCTTGTATTCTAGTTACTCAGGAGGCTGAGATCTGAGGATCACAGTTCCAAGCCAGTGTCGGGAAGTCTGAAAGACTTTTACCTCCACTTAACAACCAAGAAGCAATAAGTGGAACTGTGGCTCAAATTGTAGAGCATTAGCTTTGAGCAAAAGAGTTCAGGGACAACATCTAGGCCCTGAGTTCAGGACCTCATACTGGTTACTGGCACGCCTGTGCACACGCACACACACGTGCACACATATACCCACCCCCAAACACACACAAAGCACAAGCCCTCTGGCTCTCATTCTTCACCCACATTCTCTTTCCGTTGCTCCCAGTGAAGGGGGAAGAAGAGGAGGGTGGGAAGACCAGGGGTGTAGGAACACATGCATCTTTCCTAGAAGACCACCAGTCTGATGAAGGCTCCCTCCTATAGAGGCCAAGCAAACCAGATGACTGCTGCCTGCCTCTTGAGAATTTAAAAGAAATCATGTCTGGCCAGAAAAGTATTTCTCAAGACTGTTTCTTACTGCTACCTACCCAGCCAGATTAGAATGCTGTGTCCGTTAATTTAAAACATGCTTCAAGCAGAGGAGGAAGGAGTGCCTTCATTACTCCCAGGAGCAGCTCCCATCCTTCGGGAGGAATTCAATTTGGAGCGGAAATGGAGAATTTCATCAGATCTTAAGTAGGAGCTGGTGTTTGATTTATTTCTGGCCAGCATGGCCCATCTTGCTGCTCCAGGAGGAAAGCAGCACTGGGCAGGGCTGACTTGGAAACTGCAGCCACAGGTCAGAGCAGGCAGCAAGGCAGAGCTGAGGACTGCGGATGGGACAGGAACCAGGCATTATAGGGAGCAGAACCCCATTCCACTCATAGGGAGCAGATGTACACGTATTTGCTAAGCTTGAGCTTCTTGTGGGTTTAATATTGTTCACAATTTCAACTACATATGGAGCTTGCTATCATACAATATAGGGGAAAACAGCCCTTTTCCTGCCTGAGTCCAACTGGATAGGCTGACAGCTCTTAAAACCATATGTAAGCCACTTTTCCTTGTGCTATTTAATTATTTGCTAATGCAATTTGAACAAGTAAAAGTTACATTCAGAGTAGTCTGAAGCAATCTGTAAAGGAGAGCAAATACTCCTCCCTGTCCCTTAGGTGCATACTCTGTCTTCTGTTTCTTCGTTTGCTGTTAAGACAGCCTGTGCATTTATAAATCAGGTCCTGCCTCTTCTTCTCTGAAACAAAATCCTCTAGTCTCTTTCCTGGCTGTAGTCTAATATGGGGGATGATGTATTTCAAAGGCACAGGTGGCCTAGATGACCTGGCTAGACCCCACTGCCCTTAGGCTGAGATGGCTCAGTGGGGAAGAGATCCTCCATTGCCCTCATCTGGCAT